AACTTATTCACATACCCTCAGCACCTGATTTATCACCGCTGTGACAGAAGGAACTACAGCTGAAGTTTCATGTCAGGAGAAAGTAGGTGTATTTGTGCCACTGCTTTCAGTGTGGTAGCTGTCTTCATTTGAAACCTTCTCAGTGTTAAGAACATGTTTGAGGAAGAAGAGGATGTTTGTAAGTCACATCACTCACCAGAGGAGAATGCAAGGGACTTTTCCAGGCTTTCAGGTCAGACCATGCTTCAGTTATTGAACAAAATAAGATGACTTGACTGGCAGGAGATTACATGATTGCAGTTCCAAAACAAGCCTATGTTTGTTGATTGCTTCAACCACAAAGTTCAGTTGCTGTAAACTTGTACTTTCTTCTATGCTCCCTCTCAGTCCACACATGTGCAATCCAGACACAAGGTACTTATAAGCAGCTTGCATTTAAATTAACACAGCTACAGCTGGGGTCATTTATATCGTCAGTATTAGTAAATACACCGTTAAACTAAAAAATTGCAGTGCTGCAATATTTTGCACACCCTACAGTAATTTGTTACAGGTTTAGTAACCTACAGTAAGCCTCCTTGATCTCTTGAGCAACAGGCCTGTGAATGCCGGAAGTGCTCAGTAGGAATTATGCACTTTTTCCTCCTTCCTCTTGAAGAGGAAGGAAGGAAGGGCCTGGGACTTCAGAGGTGGATACACAAAAGGAACTGGCAATCTGTGGCGATTTTACACATTGGAAGCAGAGAGTGAAGGAGCCCACAAATGCAACTCCATAACAGTTAAGGAACTGGTATGTGGCTGTAAAATAGTCCCTGGAGTGTGGGCACAGGAGGAGATAAGTCTAGGGTAGATTATCAGTAAAGCCTGGACTTCATTCTGCTATTCCCATACAGCAGTCCCATATATGCTACACAGGGCCAAGTGGCAGGAGAAAACTGCTATCCTGCCATTCACAGGTCCTGCCTCACACTGTTTTCACTGCATGCTGCCAGCCAAAGCAATTTGTCTGGCAAGCACTCAGCCAGTGTGGTGCAGTGGGCCACATGGGGCCAGTGGGGGTTTTGCAGCTCACCTCACACATTCTGTCTTACTCTTTGAGTTGATTTTCTTCCATCACACACTTTCTTATCCATCTATCTAAACCTCCCTTTTTCTCTGTCAGTCTGCTAGCAGTTATTTAAAATAGGACCCAGTAGCAGCTTACCCAGCAGAGGTTTGTGTGTATGTTCAGCTGGGTCTCCTCTGCAGCATGCTGTTATCTGGGAGCTACTGTAAGCATGTTCGTGCACGTGTACGGAAGTGGGAGTGTGTGTGTTTGTGTGTGTGAAGCATCCATCCCTCTCTGAAGGCTGGAGCCCAATCTCCTAGCATACTTCTTCGAAGCATGCAGATAAATTGCAGCTGATCAAACAGCTTTAGATCTCAGAGTGAGGGACACACGTGTTACCTATTATTGAATTCCTTGCTCTCGAGTTTTTCATCTGTCTATTGCCCTCCTCCATCTTCTTTCCTTTCACATTTACTTGCTCATTGTTTCAGTTTTCTTCCCCTTTTCCTGTCCAGCCTCCTTCTAGGATCTCATCCCACTGTCCTGCAACAGCTCAAGTTATTTAGATGTTCTGAAAATAAGAGATTATACTATACTAGTACCACTAACAGATGACAGTTATGGAGTTGGGAGCATTTATAGTGAGAGGCTGCACTGATTCTTGAGCAGAGTCAAATAGCAGGCAGTTGCAAGTATTTCTAAATGTTTTCTATAATGTGCTAGCTCTACCAGACTCAGTAAGTGGTATCTGGGCAATTCAGGTGTGCCAAGTAAATGGACCATCACAGAAAAAGTACACTAAATAATTCTCTATAATTTGAGCCACTTAGACTGCAATATGGTTCAGCAAAAAGGTAGAGTGTTCATCTACTGTATGTGCAGCTTGGAGGTTACAGCGAGGATATTCCTTCAAAACACACAGACTGCAATGGCCCTCTTAATAGATATATTCAGTATAAAAATCACATTTTACTTTCTGAGGGAGAAAAAAACAACATTTTCTGTGTTAGTATCTTAAAAGAAAATGCGATAAGTAGATAACTGCATCAGGGAAAAGGCGTGGGAATCACAACTCCCTCAGAGCAAGGAGAATCATTGCATCTTATCCCATTGGTGATTTTCTCCCTCACTTTAGGACAACACTAGACTGCTGCCTGGCTGGAGCAGAAACAATCCCGTATTCGATTCATCTAAAGGATCATACTGTAAACAGCTCACATACAGTAAATATTTCTGTAATAGTTCCTTCTCAGTGTTGTTCAGTTTCTCTGCTTGGCTGTTCGCCTACTATTTGGCTCTGAAACCCCCTCCAAATAATCCCCAATTTACCAGGCAGCACCTCTCCTCTCTTTTCAATTTAATCGTGTCTTTCAACAGATCACCCTTTTGTCCTCAATGAAAGCATTCCATGTGTCTTAAATTGCTCTGTACGACACAATTGTGACCTCTCCATCTCCACACAGCCTCTTTCATTTCACTGGAGTGTTGCTTGGTTTATAGGAAGCCTTGCTCTTTCTGGCTTCATAGGTGAAGAAACACACTATGGCGGTCCACAAAATTTTCAAGGTGAGCCATGTGAGTGCAGCTACACACTGAATGTCCATGAGATGTGTGATGTGTTTATGTCTGAGTATTACCTTTAAAAACACTCCTTTTCTGAGACAGGTCACATTTCTTCAACACTTCAACCTTCACAGTCACGCACACACATATATACACTCAAATACACTTCTTATTTTAAACTGAGTACTGTTCTAGATCAGCGATTCCCAATCAAAGATGGCGGTTGCAGTAGGAGCAGTCATTTGAAAAACAGAAATTACAATTTAAGTTAAAAAAAAGTATCCTCATATTGAATTACTTGGAACACCTGAACACCACATCATTAAAATATGAAAACTAGCAAGCAGGCAGAAAGGTTGCTAAAAGTGATGGATAAAAGGTGAAAATAGAGCTAAAATTTATATGACAGATAACTAAAATAAATGAATAAACTAAATAAAGAGCTTAAAGTGCAGTCATAAAATGTCTAATGGGAAACTGAAATAAATCGTTAAATGTCATGAAACTCAAAAACGCAGCTGAACGTAAATAACATACATTTAGATAAAGGCGCACCATAAAAGTAACTGAGTTATTTTGTAAATATCACTATATTAAAAAGCTACTTTATACCTTAATAACTCTGAATATCACTAAAGTAACTGAGTGACATAAAATAAATGCCCAAAAATCCAAATTTCATCTTAAATGTACACCTATTTAAGTTTATTTCCTTAAATGAAATCAGCATTTGACTAAGAAATTGTTTTTCAGATATCCTTGATATTTTTGGTAAATTTCAATCAAAATATGAGAATTTAGTAATTACACTGATAAGTTTCAATAAGTAGTTTCAAATCAGTATTCTTCATCTTTAACAGCAACAACCAATCAACTAAGTTATGCTTAATGTCCTGGTGTGGATGGCATCAACTGCTCGCAAAGATAACAAAAAGGGAAATCTGAGCAATAATAAAAATGTCTAAATGTTGTAACAGATGGATAAAAGTAATGAACAGACAGTTCAAATACAGTAGCTAGCTCAAAGTAATCAATAAATGGTTGAAAAAGGTGGTGGTGATGATGAAGGGGTCTAGTTAAAGCTGACAGATTTGTAGGAAACAAATGAGCTGTAAGAGAGAGGACAGCATATTGGTGTGTTCTGTAGCTTTGTTTGTTTGTATGTCTGCTGTAATTTGTACCTGTTCGCAGGTGTAGAGAACACGCCCAGGATAATGTCTCGGCCATTCATCCTGATAATGGGACTGGTGGAGTGGAGCAGGTTAAAGTAGAAGTGGGAATCACCGGGCACAGAGCAGTTCAGACGGGCCTTTAGGAATGATGTCCACTGCTTCTCAAGGACACGCTGAGACCCACCCTGGTCCCGCTTACATACCCGGGCCACTCGTGACACCACCACCTGTGAATAATCAGGCACAGACAAGTCAATGTAGGCACAAAAAAAAATGTGTGCGAATTTGCAATATATATGCTGCAGCACAGCTCTGATAAGCTGGAAACCTAGAAACTATTCTAAGCTTTGGGTTTCATTTACAAAGATGCATTTAAAAGTTCTTTTCAACTCTAGAGTGATCTCTGAAGAGTCATTTGCAGGATGTTAACAAGGTGGATACCATGTGGTGACAGATCAACTTTCACAATGGTAAATGTAATATCTGTAATTCATGAAAATGCCAACTTATTCCAAAAATTACTTATTTAAATATTATCAACAACACTGGTGATGCTGACTAAGTATCAGTTTGCTCTGTTCTCTGGAAACATACCAGAGCCAGAGACCTTGTGTAAACACTATCCCAAATTGCCAATTGCTAGTTTAATGGAATATCACGTTTACAAATGCTTTTGATAAAAATTTATATAT